ACTGCAGATAACAGTCAGCTGAAGTGGCCTGCAGTACTGCACCCTAACCACTGCGCCACCTCGGCTCATAAAATCTCTGATGCAATTCATTTATGTTAAAAAAAACAAAGAGGAAGGAAAGATTCTGACAACAGAATATAGACAAGGCATTCTGGAAACAAACCAAGAGATGGAGAAAAGGATCATGAAATGTGAGATAGCAATTATCCTTATGGAAAAAAGTGTAAAGGGAAATATATATCCAGGTTTTGAATTCTTAAAGATAGGTGAGATGATAACAATGAGAGGAGAGAGTTAAAGATGAGAAATCATGGGAGTTGAGAACAGCAATGAACCTGATTAGATGTGAACAAATTAAAATTCAGAGGTCAAAGAGGAAGACAATGAGGAATGGCTGCAGTTGATGAAGCTGGTTGGGGATGATCAGAGAAGATGAAACACTGGATTGAGGAAGGCTGCCTTTTTAGCTCCTTCCTAAAGTGCACGTTACTAACATCAGTTGCTTCTGTCTTGTTCATTTCCTAAGCGTGTATCAGAGGCTGTGCATGCCTCCATTCCCTGCCTCCTCGTAGCTGGATCTGGGGGAGCAGCAGACTGCTTGGCTGAGTTGTTGGAAGAGACACAACCTGGAGAGTCCTTGAAAACTCTGGCAATGAAGAAAATGCAGGGAAAATTCCCACACCATGACTTGGAGGAGTTGGCTGAGCAGGTAGGACTTAGTATGTAATGCCTTTCCATCTCTCCTCTTCTTTCCGTCTTTGTTTGTCTGTCTGTCCATCCCCCCTCTCCCTCCTCCCTCTCTCTTCCAAGATAAGTGTACTGACTTTTCTACATGTCTTCTTTTCAGGTGGAAAGCATTGGGAATCTGAGGGAGTTGGTGACTGTCTATTCAGACCAAGAAGGTTTGGAAGAGTTTGAGACTGTCCTGCTTAAAGCTCTAGTGAAAGGTAATTAGTTCAGCACATAATACAATACAATAGCAGAGTTGGAATGGACCTTGGAGGTCTTCTAGTCCAACCCCCTGCCTAGGCAGGAAACCTTATTCTGTTTCAGACAAATGGCTGTCCAACATCTTCTTGAAAACTTCCAGTGGTGGGGCATTCACAATTTCTGGAGGCAAGCTGTTCCACTGATTAATTGTTCTAACTGTCAGGAGATTTCTCCTCAGTTCTAAGTTGCTTCTCTCCCTGATTAGTTTCCACTCATTGCTTCTTGTTCTACCCTCAGAGTAGAATAATTTGACTCCCTCTTCTCTGTGGCAACCCCTGAGATATTGGAACACTGCTACCATGTCTCCCCTAGTCCTTCTTTTCATTAAACTAGNGACATATATATTCCCCCCTGACTATTGCTAGGAGTTACCTATATCTGAACATTACTGAATTACTGAGCAAACTGGAAAGCCAGTTTGCAATAGTAATTAAGACACCAGGCTAAAAACTGGGAGATTGTGAGTTTTAGTCCTATCTTTGGCTCAAAGCCAGCTGAATAAGCTTGAGCCAGTCATTCTCTCTCAGCCTTAGGAAGGAGGCAATGGCAAACCAGTTCCAAAATCTTGCTAAACAAAATGCAGGGACTACTCTCCCAGATTCAACATTGACACAACAGAACACCCCCTCCCAAAGAAAAACCTCACTCCGCTGAGCATTAAAATATGTAAAAGATAAAGGAGAATTTGTTTATTCATTTATTGATACTTCATATTTCTGAACCACTCATCTCCCTCAAGTTATTATACTGGGTCTCAGAGTTATAGGTACAACCTTATTCTGATCCCTTCTCCATCAATCTGTTTCACAGTGCCTCCGATTTCTGCCAGTGTGGCAGCCCTCGCAAAAACCATACATCAGTAGCCATAGAAGATGCTTTTGGAGCAGCCATTGTCAGCAAATGGGACTCAGCACAACATACCACAGAGAGGCCAACGGATGCATATGGGGAGGTAGAATTTCTAAGCACTGGCCGTAGACCAAGCAAGGTGAGCTTGTGATAGGACAAGAGCTAAACTAAGGATCCAAGAAGATGAAGTTAGGATTATGGCAGGAGATTGTGGAGCTAAAGGCAAAGCAACTATTTCCCAACCCTAAATGTAATGACAATAAGGATGGTATATTTAGTCAGGGATGGCCCAATAATGGGATATTACAGGATAAAGCAGGAGCAGCTCAGAAGGACGTGCGACATCCTGAAGTAGGATGAAGATCCATGATTCCCTTCATTGTTTCCACCTGCCAAATTTACCCTTGTATTGACCATATCTTGTGCCTGGCTGTTAAACTGGCCACTTTCTAGATAGCTGTTTGAATGGGTGCTCATAGAAATGAATTGCCATACGGGCTATCTTCGCAGGTAAATATCCCAGACCTCTTAAAAAGGAGCATCTGGCAAAGTCTCTCAAAGTCACATAGGACTAGTAGGAAGAAAGACAATGAGTCCAGAGAGTAAGATACATGGAGTGTAACAAAAATGGATGACTCTAGATAAAACTATTCAAGGTTTGTACTAGGCTCTTTGGTCTAATCCTTTCTTCTCCCTTGCAGTTCATTCGCCTCTCTGACTCATCTGATCCTGCAAATGCTTATGCTTTAGTAACGCATCACTGGAAAATCCCACACCCCAACTTGGTGGTGTCAGTGGTGGGAGGTGAAGGTGAGGGGCCTGTAAGGGCCTGGCTCAAAGATGTTCTGAGAAAGGGGCTGGTTAAAGCAGCTCAAAGCACAGGTAATCTCTTCCTGCGGTTTGATTTAATTTTACTAACCATTTTAAACATCAGTGCAGAACAAGGGGCTGAAGCTTTTGAAGGAAGCCAATAGCTAGTTTGATGTGGGATACATTTGAATAACAATGGTCGGGTATGCTAGCCTATCTTTGCTATTGAAACAGAGGGAAAAGGCTTTCTTGAAAGGTTATTGAAAGATATGTGTGCATATTGCATAGCAACTAGGTAAACCTAGGTAAACATGCTTCTTAGTTTAGGTTTCTTGAATACAAAAAGAATAGGAATATCTAGCATGTTTTATAATAATGTATTTTCAATGTTATACGAATCTGACTTGTTCTGTTTTGCTGCATAGTTTTTTTTAATTACAGATGGAAATTACTGGTTAACTGCTTTGCAGTTATTAGAAACCTTCAGAAAGATGGGTTTTATAGCACTGGGTGAATTTCTTTCTCTCTCTCTCTCTCTCTCTTTTTTTTTTAGCAAAAGAAGTTTTAAAATACAAATTTAAGGTTTTTAAATCTTGATTTAGACACAGCCCAAGGTTGATTAGAATGTTGACTTTGTAAACTTGCAAATGCAATAAGGATCCAGGTGGCTTTGAAATAAGATTCTGAAATTTCTTATAAGTATCTTTCCTGTGGGAAAGTGCTGTTATGTTCTTTTTTTTTAAAAAAAAATGATAGGATGGAAAGGTTGAACACTCGAGGGAACACGAAGAATCTAAACATTACTCTTAAAAGAGAAGAACATTTAAATTTGACTTACTAATGCAGAATGAAACAAAATACTTAACACAAGACACATTGAAGGGTATTTTTGAACAATGGACCCAGAAGTTGATTGTAAGAATGTTACCATTATAGATAATTTTTAAAAGATATTGTGGAAGAGAAAAAAGATTCACCAGACAAGATTGAAATTGATCTGAAAGTGGTTTTTAAAATGAAAGGCTATAAAAATATATGCAAAAAGGTGCTACACTGGATATATAAATAAAACTATTAAAAGGAATATGCTAATAACAAACTAAAAGAGTGATGAGGATAGCTTTCTTATATTGGATTTACAAAAGGGTTAAAATTTTGAATTTTTTTGTGAGGAAAAAATGAATAAAAATCAAGTTCTAGGACATTGCATAATACGGAATTTAATTTATGAACTGTAACAATAAAGTCTTCAGTTTGCTGAGTGGCGAATTATGTCTGCTTGATCTAGCTGCTTCTACTAACAAGATGTGCAGGAAAAATACTGTAACCTTTGTTCCATGCTTGGCAAATTGTATGCATTTGATCAATACTTTTCTGATACAGCCTATTGCATGAGTAAAGAAAGGTGTGGAGGGATAGTGTAATTATTCAGCAGGGAGCACACTTGCATGGACAAATTTCTCCCTCCCTTAAGGGTGCCTTTTTTATATGCATAATAGAGGAGTTTCTGTTTGTGTAATAGCAATCAGGTTTGAAAAGATAACGCTGAATCTATGGATGGGTGGGTGCTGGTTCTAACCTGATTGATCCTATAATGGGTACCTTTTTGAGATAAGAGTTTGTACTGTAACATGGACTAAGATTGCAATTTGTTTAATGGTCATACACGGCCATTTCTCAGTCATGTGAGCTATTGTAACAGATCAAGCTGTGTGATAGTAATAAAGGAAATGTTCAGGTATAATTCTGATAGCTTGGTTTAGGATTTCACAGTGTGGCCAAAAAGTCTGATCATGTTTTTCATCATAATTTCTTAAACTGCCTTGTGATCATTTAAAAAAAGAATAATACTTAATTTAGCCCATATGCTTATAAAGTTCTTACTGTATTTATTGCTCCTATGCAGGTGCCTGGATTATGACAAGTGGTCTCCAAGATGGTGTCGGCCGGTATGTGGGGGAAGCAGTGAGAGACCATGCTATGGCCAGTACCAGCCGCAGCACTCATGTTGTAGCAATGGGCATTGCTCCATGGGGTATCGTTGAACAGCACCATTCTCTTGTGAACCCCAAGGTAGGCGGGCTGGAGAAGGGAAATGCTAATAGGGATAATGAATGAAGGCTGGGAAGTTTAACACAGAGTTACAGATTGAGGTGGGTGAGGTCCTAAGACCATAGGTACCTCCTGGAACCTATATACATGGTCCATAAGAGCCCCCACTCACGTTTAATATAAAAAATGGGAAAATAATACATGAAGAGTCAATTACTTTAAATGTATTTGAATAATTTGGTTAAATTAATCCAATTAATTATCACAGTGCTGGCTTTACCAATTTCCCGCCCCCCTCGCAATGCATGTTCTATATCTCCCACTTAATTCTTGATCTCTCAAAAGTTGAGTTCCTAATTTACCTCAAAGGGACAAAAGACAATAATGCCTGTCTTTACCTCATTTGATTAATCTGCTTCTTTTTTTATCCTAAAGGGTTCCTTCCCAGCACGTTACCCCAGGACAAACCCTGTGAGCCCTTTCTGCCCTCTAGATGCCAACCATTCTGCCTTCTTCTTGGTGGACAATGGGACACTGGGGAGAGCAGGCGGAGAGGCCGCCTTCCGAGCCCGTTTGGAACGCTATATTGCCCAGCAGAAAGTGGGAGCTGGCGGTGAGGAATTTCTTATATAAACAGGAACATAAAACATGGAACAGGAAGTTACCCTGTTTACCATGCTTCCTGCAACAGACTAATAGTATTTTCTTATCTTCAGATGCATCAGACTTCAGTTTCTATAACCCTTAGATAGCTAAAACTAAAGAACATACGAATTGCAATTTAATATATTTGAAAGTCACCAGATTTCTGTGTTCTGTTCTACATCTTTTAAAATGTGGCCAAAAAGCTAGCTTTCTCAGGATGCAGTATAAGCTCTGTGGTCAGATGCCTGCCTGTAGGTGAGACTTCATCCAGACTTAACTTTTATACTCTCCTCTGGTTCCACTTCCTTTCATTTTTGCATCTTTACTTTACGAGAAGAAACCCCACCTGTTTTGTAAATCTCTGACTCTAATCTGCTTGCTGACTCCACTGTGTCTACAATAACAGTTGTAACTGTTGATCGGAGGATACCCTCCAATTCTTTAAGAAATACAATGTACTGGCAAGCCTCATTACATATACTTTGCATCTAAATATTAATCCTGTTAATTACTCCCAAGGCAGACCACAACCAGAGAGCTGTTCTGGTTAATGAATATTTACTCAAAATTATATGGATTGTTCCCCTATATCTTTATGCCCCAGATCAACTTTTTTTTATAGAAATTTGTTTTCTTCTGCAGTGAGCCTGAAAAGCTAGGCAGTTTTGAACTGGGATAATACTTACACAAGGAAAGGAGTCCCTGCAGATTTTACTCAGCTAGTCAGTGCTGACTAAAGGGGGCCGTGCTCATCTCCGTTTCAAGGCTGTTGAGCCAAGGCTATCGGAAGATGTTTCTGTGGTCAGTGTGAGAGCTATTTCTCCCCAAGTACCTGTTAATTTACTTGCCATTTGTGTGTTTTTGAACTGGTAGGTGGGCAGGACCTAGGTGAAGATGGGCACTCACTTTGTTGCTCAAATGTTTGGTCAAACCTGGGCTGTAAGCTTTCCAGCTGACAAGCCCAGTTCCTTAACCCTTGAGCCATCACACGGCTCAAGAGATGAGCCTGCACCACCACTTACATGAGAGACTCTAGAAAATCCCCTTCTTGTTGGCAAGACTGAAAAAGTAGGAAAAAAAGTACCCCAATAGAAAGCAGTGACAAATCACTTTCATACTAAGGCCAAGAAACAATATGATGTATCTATGTCATTCATCAACTTAGCTCAAAATCAACTTAGTTTGAGGGTATCGTTATCTTGGCCTTACTTTCTTGCCCGAGTGGTAGCAAAAAAATGTTTGCATTTGAACTTCCAAGATCGTTTTACTCGGACTTGGTTTGGCCACTGTTCCCTTAACTAATTTCCCCCCATTTTGCCATTCCTCCACCCTATAGGTGAAGGGAGCATTGAGATTCCTGTGTTGCTGCTGCTCATCAGTGGGGACTCAGCCATATTCAAGGTAAAGGAATTGGGATGTTGTGGAAGAAGATGAAGTGTCTTGAACAGAAATAGTTTCATCGTCAGACTTTAGGGAAGTGGTCCATAGTTCCACTCCAAGGATAAGAGGGTTAAGCTAACACATTTGGATGTGAAGGAATGTAACCTTCTTTTTCCAGTGAAAGAGTGCTCCATAAAAATTTTGGGAGAGAGAACAAAATTAATTTCAGGAGAAAGCAATAATAAAATTATCGTCCAAAGTTGCAGTTACCTAAATATGCTGGCTTAGGAAGACAAAGAACTGAAGAAATGAATAGACCAAGATAGAAACTTTGGTTTTCCTATGCATAGAACATGTACTATGGGGGAAGTGTGTAGCAATAGTTACCTTGACCCATTCCAGTCCGGCTTCAGGCCTGGTTACAGCACAGAAACCGC